TGGATTTTAAATGCATCATTTAAATTGTCTAGATTTGGAATCTATATATCTATCTATCATCTATCTATATACTTAACAAACATGTATGGAGATACAGTTATATACCAGCTATATAATCTCTGCCCTCTTGAAGCTTATAACACTGGTTAAAATATATTTTTCAGTTAGGTCTATATAGACGTGTCTTACCTTAATCTTAGTTTATGGTGAACATATTGGGGATATGCAGTATTGATGAACACTATTCATTCATAAAACACCAATTTTTCAATAGTTAAGATAGTCATCAATCAAAATAATAAAAGTACCAACTAATAAATTAAAAACGGATATGACTGTTCAAGTTATTAGTTTTTAATTAATTCCATTCTTCATATGAAAATATTAAGTGAAATGCTCTTAAAAATGCTAAGGAAAACACATATTGTTTCAATAAATTTTCGGCAAAATCCGTACGACAGGAAAATCTACAATTGGGAAAGAAGTATGTGCTACTCATGGGAGATCTGTGTAGCTTTCTCATTTGGGGCTCACTAATATTTCTACTTACTTTGAAGTTTCCTTGGGCAGTGCTCACAGGCTGGCCATCTTTTAACCATGTAAGGGATGGATTGGGAATGCCATTGGCTATGCACTGTAAGGTGATAGGCTTGTATTTCACTACAGCTCTCTCAGAAAGGCCTGAGGACTTGATTGTTGGAGGAACTAGATTCAAGAGAGGAAGAAAGTAGAATAGAAAGGAGGGAGGGATAAAGAGAGAAGAAGGGAGGGATGGAGGGAGGAAGGAAGGAAACAAAAAACCATAATCAGTGGGGTCAGACACTTAAAAATCAGTATGCAAAATGAAACCAGAAGCTGTAAAAATGTAAACAAAACATGAAATAATTTTACCCCATGCACTTAATTTATACTTTAGCGAGTACTTATTTCTTAATTATAAAACCCTACTTCTCAAAAGAATGAGTACAATATATTTGCAGCCACAGCAATCCACATGTATGTTTAACTTACACCTTTTCCCTCTTTATCATGACCCTCCCCTTCTCGACAGCTCCTTCATTAAACCAGCACCCATATTTATAGTGGGTGACCCTGCCCCCAGCAAGGCTGACTGAACCCAGGATGGCCACTTGCTTTAAGCTGGCCCTGCCAGCTTCCCTCACTCAGGAATTGGAACTGGGACTGTGAAACAGGATCACTATATTCCATCACGGGACTGAAAAGGCAGGAAAAAAGCGTCTGCATGGAGAGGGGAAAATGAACTTGACATTCATAGAAACCTCTGCGATGACTTCCAAATGGCTCCCCGGCCTCTCGTTCCAGTCCCTCCTTCCCAGGCTCTGCTGGCAAGTGAGACACATAATAACCTGCCAGAAAGTTGCTTTTTTCGCTGCAATAATGGTTTTCACACTCATGTGCCAGTTTTGTGAATGAACTTAGATGCCCCGGATCCTGCATAACACCCTCAGCCTCCATTTCTGGAAATGACTCTATTCACACTCCCTTCTGTTTTGGCGAAACCCTTCAAGGCTGACATAACCCTCTGATGTGGAATTTTCTGCCTCCCTCTTTTATCTTACTTAGGATCATTCCACAGACCTGGCATTCTATGCAGAGTATCCTAACATTTCAGTCCTCTCTCTATGCATTCACATGGTATCTATTGGGTGAGTGTGTTAATAAAGTGACTTAAAATCTACCATTATTTAATTCAAATTCCCCTTTTTTTCATCCTCACCCAGGGATATGTTTTCATTAATTTTAGAGAAAGAGGAAGGGGGGGCGGGGAGAGACATAGACAATCAATGTGACAGAGAAACATCGATTAGTTGCCTCCCGTAAGAGCCCCAACCTGGGATCAAATCTGCAACCTTTTGGGGGTATACAGGATGGCTCTCCAAACAACTGAGAACCCCAGCCAGGTCAAATTCACTTTTTATTTTACTTTATTGATTTTTAGAGAGAGAGGAAAGGAGAAGGAGGGAAAACATCAACATGAGAGCAAAACATTGATGGGCTGCCTCCTGCACACCCGCTACTGGGGGTCGAGCCTGCAACCTGGGCGTGTGCCCTGACCAGGAATGGAACCAGCAACTTTTCAGAGCATGGAAAACGCCCAACCAACTGAGCCACACTGGCCAGGGCGCAAATTCACATTCTTTACATTATTCTCCACACCTCAAGAGTCATCCAGAGCTACAATGTGAACTAGCTAATGAAACAATGCAAAGATTAATTTTAAATGAAATGCTCTTGTCCCTTCTTCAGCCTACCATGAACAGTCACTTCAAATTCCTTCCTGTTGTCTCCAGCGGTGTTGGTTGCCACGCACCGATAAAGGCCTGTATCTGACACTTGGGCCTGGGCAATGACTAGTTTGCGTCCATTCAGTAAAATCTTGAATCCATCCCTTTCATCAATTAGCTGGCCATCCTTCAGCCACCTATAGAGACAAGGCGAAAAGAAGTATGGACATGTATTTAAATGATTCTCTACAGCTATTCTAAATATTTGTGGGATTTTACCATGTCTGGCTTCTGAAGGGCAAACAGAAGAGAATGCTTTTAGTCCTGATAATGCCTTTACCTCCTGCATAAAAGTCAAATGGTCTGGAAGCCCCACGTGCCACGGCCAAATGGCTGGCCAAATGAATGGACCAGTTCCTGCTAAGGGTAACTTTTAAAAACTTTTTTTCCAAATCATGTTATTTATATATTTTATACATATACATATATAAATTTTCAATTATGCATCTGCCTAATTTCCTATTTTCTTACTTTATAAAACAAACTGTACATGGGGAAAGGAAAAAAAGAAACCCAGGCTAATACAGAGGTTGGCATATTGTTGGATCCCAATAACCATGTCTTGAATTCTTCATTCATCTATTAATGTTAGGTTACAAAACGAGGTAAATGCCCCTAAATATTATCCACTTGAAATGTTTAAATAATATTAACTAGTGAAATGAACACAATCCTAAAACATCTGTAAAATAAAACCCTGATATGATATAGCGTTATGTTTTTTCATTTCTTATGAGTTATCGCTTTCCATAAAGTTTTATAGTCATAGGTAAACATATTTTATTCCCTTAGTTGACTGGTCCTTAATTGCATTTCCTATAGCACTTCGGAAATGAGAGATAAATATTCAAGAAATGCTTTGTGAATGAAGGGGGAAATCTGTGTGCTCTACATTATGCT